GAACATGTGACCTTAAGTTTAAATTGTCACTTGGGTGTTTAAATTATCACTAAAAAGCTGTATGTTATATGTGGGGGGCTGCTACAAAGTATAAATATCTTTCCTTGCAGCATTACAGCTCCTACACATAAGACTTGGCTTTCAGATGGTGCCTTGTAAAAGGGATTCTTTGATTGCAGGAGAGATAATGTCACATCCCGACTCCTTCTCCAATCACAGAAAGCCTTGTATTATGTGAGAAAAATACAAGGCATTTTGTTAATGAGCAAGTAGTGAAGAGTGGTGGGTATATGACTGGAGCACTTTATTGCTTGAGTTGCATCCCTCACTCCCCACACCGCCTCGAAGCTGAGTGTTATGTGTAGGAACCGGCATGCTGCAAGGCAAGATTATTGTAAATAATGGCCCCCAATGTAAATCTATCATCGTTCACATAATCCACAAATGTAAATCCATTGTCAAACACAGCCCGGTGATGCTTTCCTGCTTCACGCCTATTGCAAATGACAGAATACCTGGAGCTTCCCTAATGTAAACAAAGCATAGAGACTCCTGGGTGACATTAAACTTGGTTTGACCCAAACCCAAATCTCATCTGTACTCCTTATTTCTTGCTTAGCACCTTACAAACAGACAAGGGGTGAGATTCTCCCTTGCTTCCTAGTCTGTCTCACCCACCCCCCAAATAGACAGAACATAAGGGGAAATCTCCCACATGGCACAGACAACAATAAAAAAAAAAACATTAACAAGGGTTCTGAACCTTCCCTACTCTATCCAAAACAAAACAAATGGGTTTTGACTTGAATTCCGCATTGCTCTTTATTTTCAGTTCTCTTTGCAGTATTTTAAAATATTTTTTTTTTTAATGTAATGCAAAGTGTTAGTAAAGAGATGAAAAATCTACTAATCAAAATACTACATTTTTACAATATGTCGGAATAGAGTAAGGTCACCTTATTCAAAAATGAGCTCTGCAAACCCTTTGAACAGGGTAGTCCTGGGTTGTTTGTTATAATCTGTAGTCTTTTTATTCTCAACAACATTGTTTTAAGTAATAAATAGAAGCATGATCAGGGTTACGCAAGGATAGAGAATGGATACAGAAAGGAAAAGGGAGTGGAAAGAAAAAGCATAAACACTCAACACAAAGGTAAATTATATACAAATAACTCTTTGAGCGCCCAGGGACATAGTGTATTTGTCTGCATTGTGTCATAGAAAACTTGATACAGTGTAATAATACTAAAAGGTACATGCTAACATCAACCATGTGCAAACAGTCTATTCTGAATAACCAAACCTGAACAATGTCTAGTGCTATTTAAATAATTTCTTCATTGAGGAAAGATTTTTTCACTTAGTTGACTTCCTGACTAATAACTGTGAAGAGCACCGGAGTCTATTCTCCCTAAACAGAAACGGCTGATGAGCTAAAATAATAGCCTCCTCGTCTCCGATGTTTAATGTAGCTATGGCACTTCCTGTGAATGTATATCTTTATACATCACATTGCGACACCATCATATCAAAATTATGTTTCCCAGATGACGTGATGCTGGATTCAGGTCATGTGACATGGAACCAGATCCTCATGAGATCTGTCCATTAATATTTAGAAATAAATTTAGGTTTGTAAACCCAATCGCTAAAATTCCCTATAAGTGTTAACATGCTAATCTAACTTCAACAGATATTTTCATCGTTTTTAAATCTGCAGTTTTTAATAAAACCATACCTGGTGATCCTGCCGTAGAGGTTCTTGTTCAGGCATTTCCCTATTATAGTGTATTAACTACACTCTGTCTCTGCCTCCTAATTGTGTTTCTGCATTGTCACCCTGTCACACGTGCTTCTGATGAAGACTACACACGACATTTTAACATACATTAAGCAGAGAAGTTTAAATGTTATCACGATAAGGAAACCCACCAAGAGAAATTCCATGCAGCCATAGATGAAGCGTATGTAGACAGACAGTGATTACAAACAGGCTGCAGGAGTTTTTAGTTGTAAGATGCAACAAAGGATGAAAAAAAATCAATTGATGCTTTAGCAACCTAAATGCCATTCAGTTTGGGATTACATTTACTTTAATGCCCTTACATATGCTTCTCCAACAAATGCCCCTCTAATTGTTTAAAGTGGAAATAAACTTTGAATTGAATGAATTTAGAGCACATCAGCATATCCCTTTGCTCTGCTTAGGTCCACATCTATTTTTTTGTTTCTTTTCTAGAGTATATCACAGTTGGCTGCACAACTGACTTCATAGAAATTTCAAGGACTTGTAAAAATCTGCTAAGTCCTGTTTCATATCAGCAATAAAACAGCAAAGTAAATATGATTTGCCACAAAAAGCCCAGTTAATGAGGATCCCCAGTTGAAATTATTTGTGGGAAAAAAAAAAAACTGTTTTCCCATAATAACTTGCTGGAAAGGATTTTGTGTATTTTTCATCTTAATTCTCACGCTCGCTATGGATGATCCAAGCTATGATCTAATGCTTTTAGGCAGGAACAAAACAAATCCTTCATTGACTTTTCTTCACTGTCTAATGGCTTTTGATACAGTATAAAATAACTTCCCATTATCAGATTGTTAAATTCGAGGAATGTTTAGTGAAAACATATTTCAGGGGATTTTGAAATGTGTATTATTTGTACTAATATTAAATTGGCAAACAGTAAAATTACACTTCGTTTAAACTTTCAGCCTTTTTAAAACTTAGTCTTGTTTAAAAGCAGGTACTATAACCTGAAAACCTTATTTTGTGTTCTCTTCCGATCCCGGGGGAGCTCTTTAAGTCTGGGCTTGCGTTCTGCGTTCCTGGAGATAAGTCCAAATTTAAGAAATATTCACCAGCACACGAAAGCATATTCTGTCAATTGTTCTTTATTGACAAAAGAAAGGTATGTCACAATGTGTAGCTCAATAACAACAATTGACAGAATATGCTTTGGTGTGCTGGTGACTATTTTCTTAATTTTGTACTTTATTTGTAGTGGCACCCGCAGTCATTACAGCACCCTCCCAAAATTTTGGGTTGTATCCGGTCAGGAGTGCAATGGGATTCCATTAAGTTTGCCTGGAGATAAGGTCACCTGCTGCCCTACTATCCAGTGAGCACACTATTATTGCTGGTGTGGTGCTCTTATCATAGCTCTCTTGTACTAAATCCTGCCTGCCCACAATTCCAATTTCCAAAAAGGGCATTGTTACTGGTCATGACATAGTAAGTCACAGGGTGTGCAGAGAAGTTGGTTAATTAAGCCCATAGTATCAGCATGCTTCCGGAACTAAAGGAGCACACAGAGGAGGTTAATGGAGGTAATAGCAGACACAAAAATGTTGGCACCTTTACTTTAAAGCTGCAATATTTATCCTTAATATTAGGGATGCACAGATACTTTTCGAGTACCAGTGCCGATACTTGGCATTTTCATGAGAACTACCAGAGTTTCAGCGGTTGCAGCTGGGACCTGGTTTTGGCGCTCCACCAGTGTCCTGAAATCATTAGTTGATATTATTTTAGAAAAACTGTCATATGACAATAAACAAAAATGTATCAGTACTCGTACTTGCCAAAATTGGTATCGGTGCATCCCTTTATTTATATTTATAAAAACAAAATCATACATTAAAACAGAGATGTAAAAATCCCAGGAGCTCCGTGTGCTCCTTACAAATGACAGCGGCCTCCTAACTTTTGAATTTTTCTCTAGTCTAGTCTTGGAGCTCGAAAAGTATCTGTACTTGTACCGAGTACGGTACTTTGTATCGGTGCATACCTACTTAATATATATTCTAAGATTGATTTAATTTTTATTTGACAATATTTTGACCTGTCATTCATTTTATCTTTTGTGGGTTATATTTTACTCTTAAGTATTTCATATATATAATATTTCTACTAGTGGACTTACCAATCAGAAAACCAGGCAGTATACGCTGCATTACTTGCTGGAGGGCAATTGGAAGAGGTTTGATATTCCCGATTGTGTAAACATTGAACCTGGACAATGAACATGGAACCTGTTGAGAAGATTTCCCCTCACTTCCTGTTTCGTAAAATAAAACAGAAAGAGAGAAAAAAAAAATCTTTGCAAAGTGAAACAAATTCCCTCCTTGATATTTGTCACCCATACAGGTGTCCGTATTGGAAGATTTCCCAACAATTCAATTCCAGATGACCAGGGTCAGCTGGACAAATAAAGAGGTTAAATCTTCCCAGCAGATACCGCAATAATAACGGGATAGAGATTCCAACCCTTCCCTTTAGTGTATCTAAAGCCAAAAATGTTTTGGATTTAGATATACTTTAATGACACCGCAGATTGTTCAAGGAATTTTTACAAGGTTAAAGCAAACATATTATGCATTGCTTCTACGCAGGTACATTGTGCATATATAAGAGCTAGGGCAGTAATTTTCATGTACTTGCATAGCTGAAAACTATTATATATTTACAACTAAATTACTTTTGCAAGGCAAAAAGTCTATTTAATATCTAGTAAATACATTTAGCTTTACTAACAATGACATTATCTAGGTGCCAGCAGACAGACACAGACTGAATGCCCCGCAATCAATTTAGGCACCCCTAATGAGAAAGGTGTGCACAGCAGAGACCTGAGCTGGAGTGCAGGGTAATGACCAGAAGATGAGGTAGGCTTAAAGCTGATTGATACATTTGAGAACTCCTACTTTTTGTCACTATTAACTTTCACCATATATCATTTTAGCATACACCCATTACACCTTAAAAAAGCTTTTTAGAACTGAAAAATGAATAGTCAGTAACTGACCCTTACATACAAACGATCCCTTAAACCCAACCCAATTAGTGTAGACCTTTACTTAGATACATGTGGAAACTGCCATTGCTGTCCTCTTTTTAATAATGCTAGTTGTCTGTCTATCATGCTGATCATTTGACTTCAATACATTTTTATTCACTTGGTCCTATCACTTACAGTATCTCAACCTTTCCCTTTCAGGAAACTGCAGAGAAGAAAGCCTTCTGCCACTCCTATGTAAAGGACCTCATAAATGAAGCAACTGACATCAATTTGAAAAATGAATCTCTGCAAAAGTTGTGGCCGCAAATGTTCATTGAGATGGTCAGAGATGCAGTGATTGAGGTTCGCGATAAGAACTCCTATATGAAACAGTGCTTGCAGAGGATCTCTGAGCAAAAATAGCTACCAATCATTATTTATACTCGCCAAACCGTAATATTGACTGTTCCTAGGTAGACCTGCTTGTTTCTCTTTTTATGTCTTGAATCTTCTACCTCCCTATTATTGGCAGTATTGAAGACCACCATGTGTTTAAGCAAGTTCTGTACTTGGGACTTTGACCTGTTTATAGCAAGCTGGAGTGTATACCACATACAAGCCATGATCTTTAAATGCCTTCCACCACTGAGTATGTGGAAAGACACATTGCTACAGTACTATGGCCAATTTGTCAAACAAAAAAGTACCTTTCAGTGTAATAAGTCTTTCTGAAGCATTTGTTTAAAATAAAATAAATTCTCTTTTGTAATTTGAGTTCTAAATCATTTTGGGTATTTAAAGTGGAAGCCCTCAAGGTCATCTACATACATTTCAAGATTTTTGGTAAGCTCTATTGCAGATGGTTAACTTCTTGTTTTGTAAATACTAGGAGAGGTCATGTTGGCATACTTCTTTAATCTGACAAAATCAGTGCTAAGAGAAAAGATCTGCCTTAACTTATCACATGATCAATCTCTGTGTTGTAATGAGAAGCAATGCTTCCTTTTGGTATCCCTTTTGATGTGCAACACTCATTGTTATCTCACCAAAGGGGAAAACTTCTGATTTCTTAAATGAAAAAAGTACAATTACACTTTCCCTAAAAAGAAACCCCAGCCACCCACCCCTATGCCCCCCACCCATGTGCCTACTGCTTTGTGATAGTAGTGGTCTCCCCTAGTGTTTACTCTCTGTGCCCAAAAATTTGTGGCATTGCCTACCAGAGACTTTTGAGCCGATTATATTTAAACAAATACATCCTTGGTTCTATGTATGGCACTATTGGGTTGATTTACTAAAGATGAATAGGTTTTTCACTTTGCAATTTACCCTTAGCTTAGTGAATGAGGTAAAGCTCTGCAGACTTCCATCATTCAAAAAGTACTGTTTTTTGTTATTTATTTTCCTTGCATGTGATTGCGTACTCTTTGCAAAGTGAATTTTCACCACATTCACTAAGCTAGGGGAAAATTTCCTTGCAAAGTAAAGATTCCCATGCAAAGTGAACTACCTATTTGCCTTTAATAAATCAACCCCGTAGTCTCAAGTAAGTTGCATTTAATTTTAAATCAGGTCTTTGTATTAAACAACAACTGAATTAAGCATTTTTGCATCAGCATCATACAACTCTGGCAGTGTAAAAAAAGCAAAACCGGGAAACAAATAGAATCCATTTCTATAACAGTCAAGCACACATGGCAGGAAAGTAAATAGGATCTCTATATAATGACGCCTACACCGGCATGTCATAACTAGTACGAGTAATTCAGAATTTCAGAAAATGGTCTTATCACTCATTAGCATTCCCTATTCTGCTCTGTGTGAGTTGCTGTCAGCCATCATCCAGTTGCAGTGGAGTGAACACAAACACAGCATTTTCAACCATGTCAATTACCACTGAAATGTGGCTTTCCATTGTACAGACATGGGGGTAGAGGAGCTGGTTTTATTTCGTTGTTTTAGCAAATCCGTATTTTACAAAAATATCCTGTTGTCTGATTGTGGATATTTTAAAGCAAATTTGTCACAGATATTTACTGCTCAAAATCATCAAAAGGTGTCTGCATGTAATTGTCCCGAAATAATTTTTTAGTCTTAATATTACAATTTTCTTCTGTTCTCATAGCAACTATTTTACTGTAAACAAGAAGGAATTTGGTTTATTTAACTGGCCAAATAGAAACTCCTCTTTAACTCTAAGGCAGCTCTTGGTTTGAAGCAATGTGTACCATGTGGTTTTCAGACATTTTGGGCTAAAAGATGGTTGTCAGAAGCCACCGGCAATACTCTTAAGGCTAGGTTCACACCTAGGCGACACCTCACCCCGCGGAAATCGTGCACGATTCCGGGCGGATTGCCACGCTGTCCGGAGTCGCCAATGTTTGAATCGATTGCCCTGTGGGTGCCATTATTTCCTAATGGCACCCCAGTTGCGCCGGGCGGATTGCGCAGTTTCCTGGCACATTGTACAGGACCGCACGATCCCGGGACGTGCGTCCTGTGGTTTTGTGCGGTGTAGTGCAGGTGTCAACCTAGCCTAAAAGAGAATGGAATAATTGAGAAATCTGCGGGGCGGAGAGGCAAAGCATAGCAGATGTAGGAACGGTAAAGGTTCATCAAGAGTCGGGAAGAAAATTCAAGGGCACAAATGTGAGACATCCCATAAAATAGCTGGTGGTATAATGGGCTGTGTAGGTGGGGGGTGGATATTATTAGGAACCGAGGTAGTTGCCCAGAAAAGGACGGGAGCAGTATGAATGACAGTGCACAATGCAATATAAAACTAGAATATGGGAACAGAATAGAGGGGGGACTGATTACAAACTGGAATACTGAATGTGGGTAGAGTGAGATATAAGAGTAATGTAGCTGTGATTGGATGAAATCTATCATTCTCAGAAATGAAGAGGGGGAGGGACATAGAATGTAAGTGACCAAATACACAAAGGCAACACTGAAATTACATAGTTACATAATTTGTAAGGTTGAAAAAAAAAACCCACAGTTCAACCCGTGTGTGTGTGTGTGTGTGTGTGTGTGTACACATATTGTTATAAACATCCATACCCCTGTATTTTTTGTGAAATGAGAACTGAAGTTAGAAACTCATATTTCAGTATCAGCTGAGCTCCTAGATATTTAAAAAAAAACATTTATGAGTTCCACATTTTCACTGCTCTGACAATAAAAACCCCTTAAGCTTAAACTGCATTCACCTTTACTTTGTGGCCACATATGTTCTTCAGAGTACTTAGCTTAGACCTGGGCATTTTATGGCCTGCGGGCCACATCTGGTCCTTAGGCTGTCCTTTGTCCTTGTCTGGCCCGCAGTCTAGACATGAACCAATGGGCAACCAGCATTTGGTTATGGCTGGCTGACAGTGGATGCAATGGTGTTCGAGGCCGGAGCATCCACTGCAAGTCATAGCCCGGTGCAGCCCCCCTTCTCTTCAGTCGTTGATTGCTAGAATGACTGGCGTCCTAGCAAAAAATGACATCAGGTGTCCACCTCGAAAGCAGCCCTTCAGCCTTTCACAACAGTCCCAGTTTCTCATGTGGCCCCTTTGGGAAATTATTTGGCCACCCCTGACTTGGCTTAAACAGTTTACTCCCGATACTGTAGTCCCCATTGATAGATTTTTATATAATAAAAAGGGCATCGGTAACTGATCATAAATAAAACCAACAGGGAAGAGCAACAGAAGAAGGGAAGAAGGGTTCAAAGCAAGGGAGAGTGAGTGTGTTAACAGTGCATGAACAGTGAGAACCGAAAGCTCAGTGTGAAGAGCAAAAAGCCAACAGTGGAAGGAGGAGGACAGTATACTGTATGTAGTATGTGTGTCACTATTGTAGAGAGGCTGGGACTACATGAGCAGATCAGAAAGGAATCTCAGCTGCAGACCAATAAAAATATAAAAACTTGAGTTCCTTAGACCTATTTCCAGTTCACTACTATGTGTCATGGTCCCAGGCCTATAACATAAATATACTGATTGCTGTGTTTAGAAGCAATATTCTCTACCCCGTCTTTTAAATAATAAGAAATAATGTAATCACTATACTGTATGTATTTGTTAATTAACAAACAAAAATGACAGGGCAGAGAATAATTTTCTCATATGGCAAAGTATTGAATGCGGGTCAAATATGTGCCATGACTGACAGTTTTTGTTTCTACTGGTGCTCTACTTTTGAATCTGAGCCCCTCCCCAGGACCTGTTATATTGGGGCACCACAGTGGTTAGCACTGTGTTTGCGTTGGTTCCCATGGGTACTTCCAAAAGAAATGCTGGAAGGACAATTATCTCCTGTCTAAGTTGGCCCTGCATGCATATGAGATAGGGACCTTAGATTGTAAATTCCTTGAGGTCAGGGCAGTGATGTGAATATGCAGTGTGTAAAGTGCTGCATAAAAATTGTCGGTGCTATATAAATACTGATAATAAATGGCGCCCTGTTGCCATGGCGAGGACAGGGCGCCAGGCAGCCAACACAGGCAAGACTTAGCAGGGAGAAGAGGAGTGGCACAGGCTCCAGCTTCTCCTCAGGTCCATGCTACTCTCCCCCATCTGTATGGGCAGAGGCAGCGGGGATCTGATGAGAAATAGAAGGCTTCAGCTGGGATAGGGGGCAAGGGAAGGAGGTGTCATCCAGGATGGCCGAGTGGTGAGAAGAAGACTAAAAATTAGTTTTGGACAAAATGAATGGAAACTAAAAACGTTTTCATTAGTTTTGTCAAACGAAACAAATTTTTATGCTATTTTGAATTTGGCCCCCAGTGCATTCTAGAGGCGGGTCACATGACGCCACATGACATCACACGTCTGTTGGGGGGCACAATTTTCTGTTCTTGGCGCAAAAGGAGCTAGCTCTGGCTGCTGCTCTTTATATAACCCTTCTAAGAACCATAGAGCCCTATTGTGATGTCCTCTATTATCATCCAGGTGACAATTGGGTTAGCCTGTAAATTTTACACAATCTGTTCATCCCAGAGCCTCCACACAACTTTTATAGTAAAGTAACCTATAACTTTCCAGTCTCTGACCATGTGAGATTAAACTTTACATTAGCTTATACAAAGCAAACTTGCTCTCAAATAAGCGAGGGCTGCCATTTCTTACATCTTTCTAAAAATGCTGGTTTCCCAGATGTCATACCAGTTCTCTAATTTCAATACCCTCTGAGTCACGGAGCTGGAAAACGTTTATGGCAAGTGAGGTCTATATTCCAGATGTACATGCTTATTCCAGGTATGTTATTAAATTATTGACACCATTAGATCATTCTGACAGCATGGCAACTAGCATTTTCAGATGAAGAGATCAAGAGTGGTAGCCTTCATGATTCCCTTTAAAAACAAGATAACATGGACTATATCCATTGCAGGGGTATTTGTGTTCTTGAGTAAATAGTGTACAAAATCACTAATTTAGTCTGCTTTTTGATACTTATGTTGTCTTTCACCTGAAGAATAAAGATATTCTTCTAATGAGATGATAGTAATTACTACAGCTGTTGTTACTCTTTATGTAACCCTAAACAACTATTTACCTCCCAAACCCTATTTTGACATCACCTTTTGTTTAGCAACCTCTAGGCTTTATATGACCTGTTCTTCCTAGAGCCTTGTCTTCCCCATGTGCCTAAAATGCAAATTCCTAAAACAATAGCTATACTTTGTCCATGGTGTACAGAGG